ACATCCCACCACGTCCCACCACGGGAGGGAAGAGGGGAGGAGGGCTGGGAGGGGGTCAGGGAGGAGGTTTTTATTTTCTGTTGAGCTTGGGAATGTTGTGGGGGGGGAAGAGGAGGGGGAAGGATGAATCATCTCCTCTCGGAGCAGAGCGAGTGGCTCGAGCAGCCTGACGAGATGGGAAGAGACACCATGTCAGGGCAGCTGGAGAAGCTGCAGCCAAGTGTCCCCATGGCAGGGCTGGTGAGTGGGCTGAGGGACCCAGCCTGAGACAGCCCCCCCAAAACCCCCGGCAGCTGGTCCTGCTTTTTGGGGGGACTTGGAGGAGGGACGGGGATGGGGATCCCTGCTGCTGGTGGGGGGGGTTGGCCCTGCCCCGTGGGGGGAGGAGGGGTCTCCCCGCTTGCTTGTGTCTGGCTCCTGCCCCAGGGGATGGGGGGGTCACCTAAGGAAGAGGGGGGTCACCCAGGATGGAGAGGGGGTCACCCAGCACAGGGTGGGGAGTCACCCAGGGGAGAGTGGGGGTCACCCATAGGGGAGGAGGGGGGTCTCCCAGCACAGAGGGGTGGCCCTGCAGCACAGAGATGGGGTCCCCCAGCAGAGAGAGGGGTTCCCCCAGCGAGCAGGGGGTCTCACCTGTTCTGCCTCGCCTGGAGCTGTTCCAGCCCCAGCCTGACACCATTAGTGCTTTTCCTAATTAGTCCCTGGACCCGCTCAGTGTTCAACACCTTCACTACCTGCAGAGTCTTCCCATGAACTGGTCAGGGAGCTGCTGGGAGATGTGGATGCTCCAGCTCCTGCAGGCTGGGGGAGCTCCCACATTCCTTGCATCCCAGAGAGCTGCCCAAGCCCACCCTGGCACAGCCCCTCCAGGACCTGGCTCTGCCCCATCCCTGCATCCCGCTTTCTCCACGTAACCCATCCTGAGGTTGTCCAGGGAAAAGTGCCCCTTCTGGGTGGCCCTGGGGGGGTGCAGAGGAGGCTGCAGGGCAGAAGGACCACGGGGGGGACGGCGGAGGGAGGATAATTCCCACAAATCCCCCCCCAGGAGGTGAGGTGGGATGGGCTGCCCGGGGGGGGGGGGATTTGCCTGGGCTTTGCATTCTGGGTCAGAAGTTCAAGGCCAGGATCAGGTTCAGGTGACCTGAGGGATTTGCCAGCTCTTCCCACCCTCCTCGGGGCAGGGGGGTGACACTCTCCCCCAACGAGGGTTCCTTTGGAGGAGCAGGCACCCAGGAGGTCAGGGTGTAGCCCATGTTCTCCCCTCAGCACCCACCTCTGAGCCTTGCCCCTCTGCCTAGAGGTGGCAGGAGCCCTGGGGGACAGGGGTGTCCTCAGACAAGGGGGCCAAGGCCAAGAGCACTGCTGAGAGCTCCTGGAGCCGTGGCAGGGGGCTCCTTTTAGCACCTGAAGACCCTTTTGCGGGGGGGATGCAGAGTGGAGGGAGGTCTTGCCTTTAAGATGGACTGATGGGAAGTCCGTGGGACCCTCATGGATCCCCTGGTGTTCCCCTCGTTGTGAGGGACCCCATCAGCCCTGGCCTGGCAGATCTTCCTTGGGACAAGCTCCTGGGCAATTCCTGGCTGAGCTCAGGGTCCTC